TCTAATAATTTAATAAAATCTTGTTCTAATAAATATTCATTTTGACATTTTTGAATAATTTTATCTTTAATTTTTACTAGAATTTTATGTTTAGATAATTTTTAATATAATTATTGAGGTAAGCTAAATTATTTTTAGATTCGAATCTGAGATACCTAATCCATAAATTCTTGTTGATTTGACTAGTTGACTCAGATAATTAGTACTTTAATAATTATTATTAATATTTTTAAAACTCCAGCTCGAGGGGATAATTATCATTATGTCAATCATACATTTTTGAAGAAAATAAGCTAATTGTAAGTGTAAAAGAAAATGTCAAATCCCTACCTCCTAAACTCCCGAAGTGAATGCGTGATGAATTTTTATATTCTTCACTATTTACTTCTTTTTCAATCTTATCTTGTTTAAATTTCTTAACGTAAACAAAACGTTGTTTAATTTCATCAATAATCACTCCAATTTCCAAGGCTGGGATTATCTTCTTTGGATCTCCCTTACCTCCAATAAATTTTTCATAAGCTTCGAATAATACTTTTTCCTCTAAAAATGTTTTTGGTTGAAAAGGAGTAAATTTTGAAAATGATTTGAAGTCTTTGTGATTTTCTTTTGAAATAACTTCATTAACAGGGACAAGTGCATTATCCTTTTTTTCGTCTTGTTTCAAATTATTTTCTTGCCTTTGGTTAATTATATCAGCTTTCTGTTCTTCGTCTTCATGATTTTCATTTTCGGTTATCTTCACTTCATTAACATTTGTTTTAGCTAACTCAATTTTTCCTTTATCCAGATTTGACGATATTAAATTTTGGTCATCCGGTCCCAATAAATGACTACAATCCTCTTTTATTTCCTTATTCTCTTCCAAATCTTCGTTCTTTTTTACTAAATGTTCAACTTTTTCTCCCAAACTTTGTTTATTTTCTTCATTTAAATCGATGTTCTTTTTCAATTCTTCATTTTCTTCCTCATCCAAATCTTCACTCTTTTCTTTTAACAAATCTTTATTTTTTACTTTCTTATCCATATCAATTTCATTTTCTAAAATATTCTTCTTTGTAATATCCTTATTATTTAAATAATATTTTAAATCTATTTTACTCCTATAATTCAAAGCTAATAATGATTTATTATCTTTTTCCCTTCTTAATTTTAATCCACTCAGAATTTCTGCCTCCTTAATTTTCTTCCTATCTTCCTTTCTCTTTTTCATTAAATCTTTTTTATTCATCATCCATTCGTCTTCATCTTCTTCCTTTTCATTAGTTTCATTTTTGTCGTCCAATTCATTATTATCTTCCTCAATTATTTTTTCATGTAACTTCGAATCTTCATTATTTATCTCTTCAAAACTCTCTTTATTTTTATTATCGGCTTCACTATTATCTGGTTTTATAGTTTTAGCTATTTTGTTTTTCTTTTTTCTTTGTTTTTTGGAAATCCCATTATTATTTTTATTCTTATTATTTTTTGTTTTATTTATTTTATCATTTTTTATATTTTCTATAGAATTAATTTCATTAGCCGTATTTTCTACATCTATCATTAAATCTGTAATTTTAAATACAGTCGAACCTCGATTTAATATACACTCCAAATAATTTAAAACCCCAACGCTCTTTCTTTTCTCGCCCTCTTCTTATATTGGGAAATATTTACATTTGGTGGTCACTTGGACCAAAATATTTTCATCCGCAATAAACTTAGGCTCTGTTCTAATTTAAGAGCCTATTTAGTTACCTATTTTGAACTTTTTACAATCTAAAATCCGGGCCCTAATAATCACCAATGGGTGATTATAACTAATATATTCCGATCATCTATAATCGGAATAAGAATTTAAATAATTAATTTTACCTTTCATGCTCTCTATATTCATCTCCATACCTATATTTCTAGTTTCATTTATTTCCTCATCAGAATTAAATTTTTGTAAAATTATATAATGTTTAAATTTATCTAATGCAAACATTCCAATTACTTGAATAAATTTACGTAATATATTCTCATCAGTTTGAAAATCTAAAAACTAATTATTAAACATCACTCCAACTTACAAGAAATTTGAATTTCTTTTTTTGGAAGCGAATGATTTTTTTAGTATAGCATAAAGTTAAGGGATGTAACATCGAACTAGTACCCAATATTATTAAAATACCCAGACGGGCTACCGTAACCTAAAAACGCCCTCCAAAACACGGCAATATCTTTATGCTCATTACAAAGATTATAAATATTCAACAAAATTCTAATAGAGTGACATTATATTAGAATAAATACTGTAGCAGATTTTTGTTAAGAGAAATACCTCTAATAAATCTTGTACGAAAATTAATGTCCAAGCTACCATTTATAAACAATTTAATAAAATGATCATATTTATCATATTTTATAAGAGTTATGAATTCGTCAAGGTTATCTGTCGAGAAAATTTTTGTACTCATATCATCCATTATCTTTTTCCATTCGTACTAAAAATTATAATAAAAGCTGATATTATCTTAAGTTGTCTAATTAAAAATAAATTTTTTCATAGATAAAAATAGTCATAATAGGTAATTTGCACCACCGGTGATTAGCTTTACTCAGGGATGTCATGGGTAGAGATAAAAGTTGGGTAGATATCAAATCGGGTTTCGAAAAGCTCTCGGGTCTTGTATAAGCTTAGATTTTGTGTATCGGATTTAAGATCACCAATGACGCCCATGGCGAAGCCCACTATTCTTTCTGAGCTTAATAGATAACCGTTCATATTATTTTTCAATTTTTTCAATAAAAAAGTAACTTTATTTTTTAGGTTTATTTTCTCGAGTCAAGAGAAAATTCCTCTAATTTCTTTAAAATTTCTCTCATTTCTCTATTTTCTCGAGAGGCCCCTTTTAAAGCTAATCCGCATTACCAATGTTCCAAAAGTTATAGTCGTTTAAAACATTTGTTCTAAACCATTTTTAAAACGATTTTAACACATTCTGATATTTAAAGAATTATTTAGGACATTGAAAGATCCCTAATTGATACCTGTATATCCAGCTGATAAAACTTTTTTTCTAAACTTTGAGCTTTCTTTGAAATTTTTTTATCCTGGATTGATCGAACCATACGGTAATAAAAGACAGGGAAATTTGAGTGAAATCTCTTTAAATAATCTAAAGAAATGTTCTTATTAGATGCAAAACAGTAAGGTATATCTAATTGTTCTTGTGCTCGGTTCCAGATATCAAGTGTCCAAAGCCTCCTCTTTTTAGTAATAACATTTTCACTCCATTCTTTAATGGATTTTATATTTTCTTCAATATCTTGATGCCAGATAATATAGTCAATGGCTATATGATTTCGTATGTAATCATCTTCGTTGGGCCCATAGAAAATTTTATTAAAGTGTTTAGCAGCTTGTTTATCATCATCATATACTAAAAATATTTAAATGTTATCACTTCCCGAAAGTCATGGAATTTGGCGACAAATTAATAATATTCATTTTTCTTACATCCTCTACATTCCTTCTTGAGATGGTGGTTATCAACACATGGTTCTTCACAAGGATCAGACGCTTGTGATAGAGGTAGTAAAATCAATATAAAAATTTTTGACAATAATTGACAACGATTCATTAAGAAAAATTTCTAAATTAAATAAAACATTTTAAATGTTTTTAATAAAGATTATCGGAAGGATTTTTATTTCAGTAGTGATTTGAATTCTGAAGCGCTCTGCCATCCCGACTTTCTTAATGTTATTTTCCTTCCAATTTTAACCACATTTAATTGTTTTAATGGTGTAAGATGAATTCTCTTACAATACTAACAAGTATTCTGGATGAATATTTAAAATAAATACACGCGGACCCAAATTATACGATATCCCTCGGTCTAAATTTGACATACAAACGTGATCCGGCACTTGTATTAAAGACTGCCCCATATAAGATTTTTTTATGAGAGGAGTCGTTTAGGTGAGATAACCTTTTTATTATTAAAGGTTAATTATTAGACGTTAAACATTTATAATAAATAAAATCTGGCATGTCTAGATTTTTATTAATAGCCAAAGCAATTGGGCGGCACTCTTTAATAAATATAAGTGCAATATTGAATACAAAAATATACAAAAAGTGCATTTATAAATAGACATATTCACGTGAATATCACTAGACATGTTGACCTAAACTCTGTTTTAATCGCAGTTTCCGGTAAAATGCCAAACAGGAAACCTGCTATAGTCCAAACTCAACAAGTATTTATATAAAGGTTTTGGTAGGACCAGTATTTTTAGCTAAGGGCGGGGTCCAGACCTAGGAAATCTTATAATCTTGCCGATCGGCTCGGCAAACTTTGAAAGTCCGTTCTTCTGTTAGATTTATCTAAAGAATATTTTCGTTTTTTAATTATTTAAGAAATTATTTAATATAAGTATGTATGTATTAATTAACGAAGATGGCGTCTTCTAAGTGCTGCATGAACAAGTTTATTATATGCAGATAAACGTCGACTTGAAGTTGATTGTTCTCCAGGACTATCTGAATTGATTTCAGATGCTGCTAAATATCTCAAATTATCTTAATAAGAATTCCGTATTATTTTTACCTTTTACTGTTCCTCCTCCATAACCACTACCTCCCTCATATTTTGCTTCATAAGCTCCGACTTCTGGCTTTTTCGGTGCTTCAGGGGCACTTTTATTTGGCACAGCAGCACCGTAATTATTAGCAGGATGAGTTTCAGGCTGTTGATATGGTGGTGATGGGGATGGAGCTGCTGGAGGAGCGGGCCCTACATCGACCCCTTTTGAACGTTCAGGACAAGGACAATATTCCGCATCGGCACCTAGTTTAATTAGTTTACTAATTTATAAAGTTAATATTCTAATTTACCAGGCAATCCTTGGGTTCCGGGACTTCCATTTATGCCATCTTTTCCTTTGTCACCGCGTGCACCTGGAGGACCAATTGGTCCTTGGGGACCTTAAATTAATTTGAACTTTATTTATCAACTATTATAGAGCTACAGACCTGGAGCGGCATCATCACCCCTATCACCCGTTGGGCCCTCATCTCCTGCCTCACCAGGCGGGCCAACAGCTCCCTTTGGTCCAGGATCTCCTTTTGCATATCCAACGCCTTAAATACTCATCAAATAAAAGGAATATTTATAGATCTTTTACCATCCTCTCCTGGTGTGCCTTTCACACCTGCATCGCCAATATCACCAGGAAGGCCGATTTCTCCTTCCGGTCCCTCATCTCCAGGTTGTCCATCTCGTCCAGGGGCACCAGGAGATCCTTTTGCTCCTTTATCTCCTCTTGGCCCTCTCTTGCCTTTATATCCAGGTAAACCGGTTGGACCAGCTGGACATTTCCCACAGCCAGGAATTACAGTCTCTCCATAGGCATTTCCAGGATCAGAAGCTACTTGACTGCTTCCTGGAGCACCTGCAGTACCGGGTTCTCCGTCCATTCCTTGAGAAATTTAAATCCAATAATTTATATTAATAAGTTAGTGGTACACTAATCCTTTTGAATGCAGTTCCGACGTTTACTGAAACCAAAAATATAGAACCGTAACAATTGGAATCGGTTAGAAATCGAAACGATATAATAATGAAACGGTTCCGATTTAATGTCAGATAATGTAGGTATAGTTTAAGAGCCGAAGCCGAAGCCGAAGTTTAAGAGCCGAAGCCGAAGCAAAATGATGCCCGATACCCAGCAATGGTCACTTTCCCAAGTTACACTGTGAGGTAACGATAACTATAGTTCGGACTAGGTATGTCATACAAGTGAATCTCGAACCCGGGATTTTTTCACCGAGTTTTTGTTTGAGATCCCTTTTGGACAGTTCACTAACGATAAGATGCAAAATTAATTCCCTTAATTTAAATTTTTACTAATTTTCAGAAAGATTACATTAACGGAACACCAAGCATTAAAGTTCCAAATGACACCAATGCAAGTCCAGCTGCAATATTTACAGTTCCTTTTGGCAAATTACTCATTGTTAAATAAATTATTTTGAGATAATGTTGAGAGTAAATTTTAAATGAAAATGCAAAATTCTGAGGTAAATTTTTATCTTTTAATACTATAAATTGATGGAACAAACTTAAATTCTATCAGAATCTGACTTGGACAAAACGTATCGTTTCATTGCCACGTTAGTTATCCTGTTTTTCTCTCGTTATTTCGTCTATTACTTAAAGTATTTTTTGGAAGTATTCCAGTGGATTTGCCGTATTTCCTCTGATTGAGCGGCTGCCGCTCTATTTTTCGATCCCTTCTCAAGGGGCCGCTCTATTGGAGACTGCCGTTCAAATAGAGACGCCGTTCGATTAGAGGAAATACGGTATATTATCGGTTTTAATTTCCAAATGTTTTGTTTTGTCTTAAAAAATTTAAGTTTTTCACAGGTCAGAACTAGAGTTGGACAAGCCGAGACCGAGACCGATACCGAGATTCTCGGCTTTTTTCCAATATCGGTCTCGGTTTTTCATTCTCGGTCTCGAAACCGATATTCTCGGTCCATTCTCGGCGAGAAACGATACTGACTCAAAGACCCCAATTTTCTTGTATTTTTTAATAAAACTGAGAATTTTTGACCTTTGGCCTTCTGAATTTCAAAAAATTTTCGCCTGCGGCGCTGAAAAGAGTGAATCCTTCTTTATTTGCCTTACAAAATCCGAGCATTTCACTAAGCCCTCACGATTGCGTTCGCACGACTGAGTTGCTCTTTTATCTAGCTCAACTGAGTCCCAGTAATATAATAAAATTAAAAGGCTTAAATACAATACTGGGTTATTTGGAGGAATTTGGGTGTTTAAGAGGATATCAATGGATTTGGAGGGATATCGAATGTTATATTTGGAAAGCTAATGGCGGATTAAGTGGACTATAATTGTATAAGTAGACTATAATAATTTTACCTATAAATCCTACTATTGTATTTTTTATAAAAAAGGATGTTAACCAAAAATCGAGTAGGATCCAGATGATGAAGAGTATTTATCTGATGATTTGGATGATGAAAATAATGAATAAATTATTTTTACACGCATTTTTTGACGTAAAATAAAATTTTCTGTTAGTCTCGGTCAGTATCGTTTCTCGGTATCGGTCTCGGCTCAAAATGTTGGTGTCGGTCTCGGTATCGGGTTCTTGAGTATCGGTTAATCTCGGTCTCGGGTTGGCCGATACCAGTATCGTTTTGCCCAACTCTAGTCAGAACTAATGAACTAAAGAATACATTAAAATTTAATATTAAAAACATAATGATAATAAGAAATAACTAACAATAACAAATGAGAAAAACTCTCAACAAAAATAATTTGGATAAATAAAAAGCCTGTTCCTACCTTTCCGTCATTTTTGAGTTATATGCTTTGGCGGTGTTTTCTAATTAAGTTTTATGCTTGGGAGTGGCTGTCGCGCAGTTCTGCCCTCAAGGCTATTGTAGAGAGTGCAATTATGAATTGGGCGCTTCCTGATTCTCTCTCTTTTTTTTTATAAATCCAGCATTTTTACTGAACATTATTTGCAGAAAATTTTTAATAAAAATAATTTAATTAAAAAATTAATGGAGATAGAATTCTTAAATATATTGAAATAATCTCTGTCAATTTTGATTATTGAAACAGTTTATTAATCAATATCACAAAATAAATGAATTTTCTACTCGATTTATTGAGATATAGTACGCCAAATTTAGCACTACCTCTCGAATAATTACCCTCTCCAGCGTGAGGTCGAAACAATATTTACCCAGGGTAATTATTCGAGCATATACGGTAGTTTTATGTTATTGTTGTAGAACCCAGCGGCATACGCTCCTTGTTCTAATTTTATCTTAGCTTTCTTCCTTCTACCTCAACCTTCATTACAAGAATTTCTACGTGGATAAACTCTTGATTTTCAATCGTCTACATTAACAAATCCCTCACTTAAAACATAATATTTGAAAAGTGCATTTCTCATGCACTTTAATTCTCATACTTTGTGTTAAAATACATTTTGTGGGAAAATATAAAATAACATCTTTCTTTGACTATAAATATTCGCAATAATGTGTTTAATATGTGTTTGATTATCTGTTTGTTTGTGAAATCTGCTTGATCCGTTTTCCACAGGGTGATCCGTTTTCCATATATATAATATATGTATACTGAGCTCATATAAAACCTCATATTTTATTGTATTTCCTAGTTACCTCATTTTGATATTATTTTAAAAACCGACTTGTGGCTTCAATATACTGCAGATTGATATTTCAAAAAATTTCAATAACTAATATTTTTAAAGAGATCTCTTTTAGTTTTAGTCTGATATGGAAGGCGCTGCGTCAAAACTATTTTAAAAATTGAGTGGATGAGCTAACTGAGAGTTATTCCTATCTAAATTACACTAATCTCATTATATAAAGATATAATTTTCAGAACTAGGTTCCGTCTGGATGAAATTTTAACATTTAATTTAAATAAAATATATTTAGATATGCAAATATACAAATTATTTTCCTTAATTAAAATTATACACCTTTTTGGAGTTTATAAAATAATTAGAGGCAATCTTTATATTAAAATTGAGTGGAGAGAATATGAGAAAAGTTTGCCTCAAGATTTGTTTAATAAACTTGATAAAATGGATAAATATCGTTTTGAATTGAAGCTTTATGTGAAAAATACATTCAGTTACATTCATCATTCAAAAATTACAGAAAAATATGATTATTGTAAATTCGACAAATATGAATTATCTACAGATGACAAAACACCTATTACTTTTCAAAAAAATAATTATACGTTGGAAGTTTTGTTTAATAAACAAGTAAAAGCTTATCATTTTAATTGCTCCTTCCGAACTAATTAGGACTTAATTTCAAAGTAGAGTATCACACCGAGCTTTCGGGGGTGGGCATCGGGGTTTGTCGGGGTAGAGCCATCGGGGTTCAGGTTTGGGGTCATTTCCTAAAAAATACAGTGATCGGTGTTTTGGGGGACGTGGTTTTACCGTATTTTAAGTATTACATAGTTTAAAATCTTGGTTTTCTGTGCTCTTATAAAGAAATGGTAATAGGATCTTAAAAAACACATTCCAAGACAAAACGGATTGTGCCGATTAAATTTTAAACATTAATAAAAAAATTTAAAATTTTAAAAGATTTTAATCGGTCCCATTCAAATTGATGGAGGAATAGACAAAGCAATCCTAATTCCATTAACTTCATCAAAAGAACATCAAGTATTTAATTCTCCACATTGTGGAGACTTTGCAGATTTTGTAAGGCCTACAAGAGTTCTTAAATTCATTGTTAACAAAATAAACCCACATCTAAAAATGAGCATTTCGTGTGTATATTCACGGGTTGTTTATGATTTAATGGAACATTCAGATTATTATTCAACATTGCATTATAATCGTCGTGTTTGTCATGATGATAGATATTTGCTTAATATAGAGGAGAATGGGCATAATATTGTAAGTTGATTAAATAGATGGGTTGGAATCAGGGCCTTTTATCCACTGGATCCAGACATCCATAATCCAAATTAAAATCAGAAATAAGATTCTGATTTAAAATTCAAATTATTTAGCCTACAATAGCAATAGAATGTGAAGAAGCCATATATGAAAATCAAATAGAAAATCTCTATCTTATTACGATTCAAAATCTTGGAGAAGACAATTCAAAAATTTCTTCATTATGCAAACTTTATAAAAATAATCCAAAAACGATAAACATAAGAGAAATTGAATTGGAATTGGAAAAATATCGAAAATCAAATAATAAAAAAGATGATAATCCTGGTAATATAAGCTTAACCAAAGAAAACTCAGAAGGTAATATTTTAACTAATACCAATCATTGTAAGATTATCAAAAATGAAATCGCTTTTAGTTATAAGTAAGGCTGTGATTTATAGGCAAATGCCTATTTTTTCTGCAAGCTTGGGATGATGTAATATGTTCAAAAAACGTGTTTTTAGCTTGGTCCGAAGAGTCTAGCATGACTTTTAATATGCCTATTTTTGCCTATTTTGGACTTTTTGAGCCTTTTTGCCTATTTTGAAATTTTTGGTACTATTTTTGCCTATTTTAGCGATTTTTCCTAACTTTTGCCTAAAAATAAGTGAAAAATCTAAAAAAATCAGCCCGGATTTAAAAAATTAGTGCCCATTCCCATTTTTAACTTATAATTCGATGAAATAAGTATTTTTACTCTGTGGACATTTTGAGATGAGACGTTTTGGTGTTGGGACATTTTGGGATGGGACGTTTTAAGGGCTGGGCAAGATGTCACTTTTGTCAATTATCGACATTTTTAAACAGTTTTTTACAAAAAATGACTCAAAATGACAAATAAATGGCAAAAGAGTTTAATAATTAGCTTATAATTCAAAAATAACGAATAAATGGGTATTTTCTTGTTTTGTTTTATTTTTATAGGCCTGATAACCTTTTTTACAT